CAACAACAACAACAACAACAACAACAACAACAACAACAACAACAACAGCAACAAAAACAACAACAAGCGCTTCAACAACAACAGCAAGTACTTTTGCAACATCAGCAGCAGCAGCAGGCTGAGGCTGAAGCGGTGGCTAATGCTGCGCTCAATATGCATAAGTATGCTGAGCGTGCTGCCAGCACAGAACTGCAGTTCTTAGAACCCACACCGCCGCAACGCGCAGTACGTGCTGCCTCTGCAGCACCCGCAGTTGGCCATAATAGCAGCAATAGCCAGCAGGCCATGATGCAAACGCCGCCACCAAGGCAGAACCACCACGCCCACAAAGCACAGATTATGCAGAGTGCATCATCGGCTTCCTCCGTGGACATAGCTGCAGCTTCAGGCGCCAGCAATAGTGTCGTACGCGCTCGCACAACACCGCCCACGCATGACGACTCAACAGACTCAATTTTGTTATCAGCGCAGCGCCAGTTCAGTGCCATGAATATATCATCAATTTCATCCAATGTCTCAGCATCGGGGGCATCTACCATGCAGCATTCTTCTTCGAAGCATCATCATCGCTCACACAATTCATCTTCGTTGTTGGACACAACCGCCAACTCCAGCAACACCACAAATAGCTCCAATACAACAAATTCTTCCAACACTACCGGAAAGGAGGGTAAACGTAAGAAAATATGGAATATTTTGGGGCGTAGCAAAACGCCGGATAAACAGAAATCTGCAACGCTCGGGCGCGAGAAAGCATCCTCGTCGAATGCCGCAAAGACGGCAGCTAAAATTAAGCTCGCGCAAGACGATTTGAATTTGATGCATCGTTGGTCGACGGGCGTTCCGCGACTGCAGCCGATTTCCGGCCAGTATTCAAAGGAAAAATTGGTGAGTAGGATGTGTAAAACACGTTTAAGAGAACAAGAAATTTGAATTAATATCAATTTATTCACTAAACGAAAAATGTTTATATTTTTCCCTTATAGTGTCCCATACTCACTGAGAAACTGAACGATCCGCAGCTCTTCATCGAATTTGAAAGCATACCGAAGCGTCGTGAGTTGGCGCGCTACGACTGCGCGCTAATGGACGAAAATGCAATGAAGAATTCCGATCCCAACTTTTTGCCTTATGATGATAATCGTGTGTGTATCACGCCGACAATGGAAAATCGAACGGGCTACGTTAATGCGTCGCGCATATCGGTAAGGTGAAATGAAATTATTTGAAAGAAAAATTTTGAAACAGATTAGGGTTTTTTCTGGATCTCTAGATAAACTAACAACTAATGTTAGTATTATAAGACTTTATGAAAAGTGTGTAGTGATGTAAAGCTTTTGCAAAACCCTCTTTGCGGGTCCATGCGAATGTATAAATATTATAAATCAAAATGTGGTCAGTGGTGGACCTACCAGGTTTGAAGTCGTACCGATAAGCACCTTATACGCAATGTTAAGAAGGCTTAATTGGCTCAAACAGCAGGAACACCCTTCTTGTGGATTGGGCTGAATATAGTACTAAGATTCCAATCTTTGGGCATATATTCAAAAGCCCGAATCGCTCTTAACAGCTGATACAACCGCCTAGTGATCATCTGTAACACCGACCATAACACGACACGCCCCAGGCCGCTAAACCTAGATATCTAAACGCGCGGATGTAAAATTGCTAATTTTGTTTGTTGAAGCGTTGCCATCCTGCGAGTTTCAGGCAACAGCAAACAGTATGGTCAAGCATTTAATGGCTGTTATACGCACCGAATTGATGCAAATATCCGCTGCAAACCCAAACGGATCAGCCTCTTCTACCAGCGATCGAGAGGTAGTGCCGACTTCGCAGTATGAGGGAGAAAGGCTTGAAGAGAAGAAGGGACCGTGCCCAGATGGTATACCTAATAAAGCTCTAGAGCTGGCATTAAATCACTTGACATCTCAGTTCTCAAAGCTATTTAACACATCTTCGCTAAGGATGGGGCGGCACCGCAGACAACCATTTCGACTTCAGGAATGGATGGATCGACAGTAGCGCCGATTCAACGGCGGTCAAACTGGCACGTGAAGCTATAAGCGTTAAAAGGTGGCTGGGGGAGCAAAGGAGTACTGCTTAAACTTAACGCTTGACTCAAGGAATGCCCTTAATCTTGCCAAATAGGCTAAAATATTTAGATAGGCAATTTGAAAATGGCATATATCGGACTATTTACGTACACTTATACGAAATTATTTCCACTGGCGAACATTGCTGTATGAAACAGAAGAAGGATGTAGAAGGGCCGAAATCACTGGAGCTGTTCCACAAGGTTCCATGCTTGGACCATTTCTGTGGAATATTATGTATGATGGGGTCCTTAAAGTTCAGCTACCGGCTGTGCAGCGTAATAGTCTTTGCATATGGCATTGCTGGGGTGGTAAGGCGATGGCGTCAGTCACATTAGTAATGACCTGACTAGGCAGCTTTGGACCTTACGGATCATAGAACGGAAACAGTACTGATATCGAGCAGAAAGAAGCTAGAAAACTTGGAATTATCACGTGATGGCCATTATTATATTGATAACAATATCGATAACTATCGCTAAATATATCGATAAATATACCGATTATAATACAATCTATAAACATAACGATTGCAAAGTCGATAAATATATCGATAACGATATCGATTATTACATCGATAGCAATATCGATAAAAATATCGATAGCAATGTCGATTATTATATAAAAAATATCGATTAATATATTGATTTCAATATCGTTAACAGTATCGCTAAATTTCTTGATAAATATAACAATAAAAATATCGATTATCGCAATTCTAAAGCGTTGGAAAATATTATATTCGTATCTTAATTGCACTCTTGATGTCTTTGATCAGATTTCCATCTTTGTCGTTGGATGAATTTATAGGGTCACATAGTGTTTAAATTTTGTGTACAAATATATATTTACATATATGCAGTTCCGAATATGATGCATATCGGACTATATATACATATATGTATGCCGCTTCTACATGCATATTGACTCCAGCGCCATCTACTTAATTTTTTTATTTACAAAGACATTATTTAATACGACTTCGAATATAGTTCTTGTTTCAAGAAAGCAGTATTAAATATAGTGCAAAATTGTTTTAGAAAACATTTTAATCTTTAAGCTTCTACCTGTACGGTCTTTAATGAGATTACTAAAAAATGGTTGTTGTTGTTGTTGTTGTAGCGGCTACAACAACCCCGCCCAGATCGGT